AGCGACAGCATGTTGCGTGTATTCTACGACAGAAAAAAATGGCGAAAAAGAAAATTACTTACCAAACAAAAGGGCATGTATTCCGCATAACATGCTGAAAATGGAATATTTGAATTAAAACAAAAAGCAAGTCCATCACAGGAGTTGCTATAAAAGTATTTTGGTATGCAAATTACTGAACATCCTATCTCAGCTGTCAACGAATGAAAAAAATAGGTTCTGCTGATAAAAGCAGTTGGTGTTCTCGATTCAAGAGCGGAAAATTTGGGCATTTTTGGCTACGGCGTTTGTTAGCGAGTGAGTTATTTTTCTGACTGGTTACACGCATTGTGATTTGAGATAGTACCAGCGAATCGAGTTTTCAGCATTTTTTTCTGCCCCTCGATATTCGAGTCTGTACACTCAGTGATTTTTCTTTGTGTTGTGGAAGTAATTTGCGACAACTACTTCCTTTGCTTTCAGAGCGCTTACAAGCTATTTCGGCAGTATGACGGATAAGACATTTGACGTCAAGTTAATACCCGAGTTTGATAGGTCAGTGACCGCACAAGCAGTTACTGAATGGATTGAGAAGGCAGAACTTGTTTGTGACCTGTGTGGGATTAAAAAGGTTGAACGTGTTCTTCCTCTGAGGTTGACGGGTGGAGCATTTGCTGTTTCCCAACAGTTAAACTCGGAGCAAAAATCAGATGTTGAGCAGATAAAACGATCCCTGCGGATTGCCTTTGCGCCTGATCGTTTCTTGGCTTACGAGCAGTTCTTGGAATGCCAACTGCGCCCGGACGAATCCATCGACGTGTTTCTAGCTGGCTTGAAGAAGGCAGCAGGTCTTTTTGGCAGTATATCCGAGCAAGGATTAGCATGTGCGTTCATAGCAGGATTACCAGCGCACGTCAAGAAACTACTGTGCGCGTCTTCCAGGATGGAAGACATGAATACAAACCAACTGTTGGACTGAGCTCGAGCCATAATGAAAGATCAAAATGCAACTGAGGAAATGGTTGCAGCTACCATTTTACCAGGCGGAGCTGATAAACATCCATATATTAAACATCGGGAGGGTATGCGATGCTATCGATGCTCTGGGTGGAATCACTTTTCCAGGGACTGTCCGATTCGACGAGAAGATGCCCGCCAGTCACGCAGGTCACGTGCAACAATGCGTTGTTTCCGGTGTCAAGAGGTAGGCCACATTGCTTCATCGTGTCCAGGAAAAGAGGAAGGGGACAAGACGTCAGCGCCGGTCTCTTCCCTAAGCGAGTTATGAATGAGGCGCTACCTGTCTTGGGTATTTACGTGAATGGAATTAAGAGAGTGGCACTGGTGGACACTGGCTGCTCAGACACTCGTGAGTAAGTCAGCCTGTCAATCCTGGCAGGAGACGGAGGTGGACGTACTCACCATAAATGGAAATACTCTCAAATGTTGCGGAGTTGGAAGTATCAAGCTTGACGTCGACAACGCAAACCCCCTTAAGATCGAAGTCTTGGTAGTGGATGGAGAGCTATTGGGTTTCGACTTGTTGCTTGGGTTTGACACCATTAAAAAGTTGGGCGGAATCCAAATAACAGAGAGTGGCGATGTACAGTTTCCCAAGCGTGGAATAGTCTGTTGTGCCACCATTAAAATAGAAGAACCTGATTTCTGTGCCGAATTCTACCCAAGCCAAAAGATATGGGTCGCATCATGGAAGTGGTCTAATGGTCGATCACCAGAGAGTTTGGAAATCGGATGCCCGAGTACCCAATACCAAAGGGAGTCAAGGAGGAATACAACCGTGAGCTGCAGACCTGGCTTGATAATGGTTGGTTGCAGCCTTATCCTGAAAAGGAACTCGGTCCTCCAAAAGGTTTAATTCCGTTGATGGCGGTGGTGCAGAAAAACAAAAATAAAGTGCGGCCAGTATTAGACTATCGAGAGCTGTATTAGTGTCTCGACACACATGCAGCCAATGCTGACGAGTGCGCACAGAAACTGAGGGAGTGGCATAAAAAAGGACCGGAAGTTGCTATCCTTGACCTACGACAGGCTTATTTGCAAGTACATATCCAAAAGTCACTTTGGCCCTTTCAAACTGTAATCTTCAAGGGGCGAAGATATTGCTTGACCCGAATGGGTTTCAGGTTAAATGTTGCACTAGCCATAATGAAGGCCATTGTGGACGCCGCGTTGGTGAAAGACGAGTCAGTTCAACGGGCAACCTCATCATATATTGATGATATTTACATTGACAAGAGCATGATTTCAGCAGCTCGCATGAAAGAGCACTTGGCTGCGTTTGGTTTGACCTGTAAGGATCTGGAGCGGTTACAGGACGGCACACATATGCTGGATTTGCACGTCACAGAAGATAACAACACGCTTAAGTGGACACATGAAAATGTCATTCCATCAGTTCCTGAGGTCCTGACACGACGTAACGTCTTCTCGTGGTGTGGAAAACTGGTGGGTCACGTTCCTGTATGTGGGTGGCTTCGAGTTGCGGCATCATTTGTAAAACGCAGGACAGTATCGATCACGTCTGGTTGGGACGACGAAGTGACAGATGCTCCCCTTAAGAACATGATTGAGGACATAGCGGAAAGAATACGCCAGAATGACCCTGCACACGGTAAGTGGTGCACAAGCGGACATGCTTATGAGGTATGGGTCGATGCAAGTTCTCTCACCACAGGGGTTTCATTGGAGGTTGACGGAAGCGTTGTAGAAGACGCATGTTGGCTGTGACCTGTGAAGGATGCCCAACATATCAATTTATCAGAATTGATGCTATTCTGAAGGGCGTCAATTTAGCATTACAGTGGAGCGTAACGGAGCTACACCTCTTCACGAACTCCGCGTGTGTGCACTGGTGGGTATCAAACATGCTCACTGGCAAAGCCAGAATACGAACTAAGGCGGCAAGTGAGATGCTGATCCGGAGACGTTTGAGTACTCTTGAAAAGCTGATTCAAGAGTATAACTTATTGATCACAATAAGATTAGTAACATCGAGTGAGAATCGAGCAGATAAGCTCACCAGAGTACCGCAACGATGGTATGAGATGATAAAGAAGGAAACCGAACCAACACGCCCGATATGCGCTTCCATGGTGAACGAAACCTCTCCTGATCAGATACGTGCCTTACATTGCCAGAGTGGACACCCTGACGTCAGGTGGACGCTATATTTTGTAAGACGAGTCTACCCTACGACATCCAAGGCGGCCGTCAAGGCAGTGGTCAGAAAATGTAAAGAATCCCAGTCAATTGTTCCAGCCTCAAGTTGTTGGCCTCGTGGCAACCTAAGTGTGACTGAAATCTGGACCTGCTTAGGAATGGACATTACACATTACAATGGGCAACACTACCTTACCTTAATGGATTGCGGCCCTAGTAGATTTGCGATATGGCGACGCCTGCTTCAACAAGACTCAAGAAGCGTCATTTGGCAGTTAGAAAGTATTTTTTTTGAACGAGGCCCACCATCAGAAATCCTGACCGACAATGATACTGCATTTCGCAGTAAGTCCTTTAAAGATTTCTTGGATGACTGGGGAGTCCAACTTCATTTTCGCTGCGCCTATGTTCCTGCAGGAAACGGTATAGTGGAAAGATCTCATCGGAGCATAAAGCGAATTGCAGCAAGAAAGCAGTGTTCAATAATGGGGGCAGTATACTGGCATAATATCACGCCGAAGGATGATATATCCTCGACTAATGCACCTGCCAATATGATTCACCGTTACCAACTGAAAGTAAAGGGAATTACTACAACATTACCACCTGATCGTTGTAAGTATCACGATATATACAAAGTTGGGAACAGAGTATGGGTGAAAGCTCCCCATGGCCGGTGTACCTCCAGGTATCAAGTGGGTCGCGTGACGGACATTGTAAGTCCACAAACAGTACTAGTTGACGGGATGCCATGGCATGTAAAAGATCTTCGCCTTTTTGTTGATTCTGATACATCGCCGAGCGAATCCGATGATGATTCATCATCTGACAGTGATCAGATAATTGAAATCTGCGAATCCGATGCTTCCACAGACACAGAACTTCTGGAAACTCGAGATACGTCTGATGACTCCTCAGGAGACGACTCTCCGACACGCATAAGGGAAATAGTGCCATTACGACGAAGCACCAGGATAAAGAGAGCTGCTCCAGGTTGTTCGATTTATGATAGTGATATCAGAGGGGAGTATAGCGAAGAAAACAGTGACTTACCTCGTCAAACCAAGCGACAACGCGTCATGTGTATTCTACGATGGAAAAAGTGACGAAAAAGAAAATTACTTACCAAACAAAAGGGCACGTATTCCACATATGCTGAAAATGGAATATTTGAATTAAAAAAAAAAAGCAAGTCCGTTGCAGGAGTCACTATAAAAGTATTTTGATATGTAAATTACTGAACATCCTATCTCAGCTGTCAACGAATGAAAAAAATAGGTTCCGCCGATAAAAGCAGTTGGTGTTCTCGATTCGAGAGCAGAAAATTTGTTTGAAAGTTTGTTAGTGAGTGAGTTATTTTTCTGAATGGTTACATGCATTGTGATTTGAGATAGTACCAGCGAATCGAGTTTTCAGCATTTTTTTCTGCCCCCCAATATTCGAGTCTGTACTTACAGTGATTTTTCTTTGTGTTGTGGAAGTAATTTGCGACAACTACTTCCTTTGCTTTCAGGGCTAACTTATAAATAATATCTGCTCTGTCTTTTTTGTTGGCATTAAGAAACACTTTGCAAGGGCTAACTTATAAATAATATCTTCCTTCACGAGCTGCAAAAGAAAAACAACAATAATAATCTTTGAAAGTGTCTGTATTTTGAGAAAAAAAATCAATAAACCAGAAAGACTGACTTTACATAATTTTGGTAGTATAATTTTTCATTTTCTAAGTTCTATTAAGAAAATATGCAATTTACATCAATACAAAAGTTGATTTAATTATTCGGAATGAAGCAGATTAGGGTTTAGAAAGTGTTAATCATTTTAAAAGTCCTTATTTAATATCAAAGAAATGGATGTAAGAAATCACCTTGCATAGCTTGCAATTCCACTGGGGTTCCTGTGACTTGGGCAGTGGTGAAGAAAGTGCCTACTTGTTTGCCCTGGGTAATATTCAAAATGGCCATTTCTTCTGTACCATTACATATCACAACTGATACACCATTCTGAACAGCCCATGTTGCTGCTTTTACCTGTTCAATCCAAAATGGATAGTAAGATACATGTTCAAATCAAAAATATAGCAGTAAATATTTAAGCTTGGATTCATCTCAAAACTTAGAAAAAAATAAGTTACTATATAACTTATTTTACAGGCATAGCTTATAAAACTATTTGGCCATAGGAAAAAAAATTATATATATATTTTATTAAACATCATAGAAGATAAAACCCCCCAACTTCTCATCCTTATAGTGTATATACATTTAAACATAAAAATGGGCATATTAATATGCTTGTAAAATCTATATTCAGTTCTTTTTGTACTTTATGAATTATGTTTTGTCATACTTGTTTTAATTTTTTACTACAAAACAGATAAGGAATTGTAAATAATAAAAAAGGCTGACTTTCATCAGTTGGTATCACAGAAATCAGTATGAAAGAAAGTAGTTACATAATATTGGTTATAATAATCATCCAAAAAAAATGAGAAAAGACAGTCATTATTTGGCATGAATTTGGAATACATTAATGACTGTCTATGTACTTACCTTTGATTCCATTCCACCAAGTCCAACTCTTGATTTTCCTTCAAAAACCACAGATGTATTATCTGTGGATGGAGAATATGTGTGGATTAAACGCGAGCCCTCTGTTCCTGGAGGGCTTGTGTATAATCCATTAACATCAGACATCAAAATCAAAAGATCAGCATCCATTTCAACTGCAAGTCTGGCAGCCAAACTATCATTGTCTTTTAGACTGATTACCTGAAAGAAAAACAGAAAATACATAAAAGATTAGATTTTACACATGAAGATAGAAAATAGTATTTAACTAAATTGTTTAGTAAAAATTTTATAAAAAAATTAGTTTGTAAAATCTGTGGTACACAAAATAATTTAGAAAAATGACAAATATTCAATGTAATGTTGGGCAACACAATGTTATAAAATGGATAAAATGCAATCAAGGTTCACCAAATTTTTGAGCAATAATGTTATCTGTTTCATGTATATTGCATAAGCATATATGCTCCTTAGAGAAGAAAACTAAAAAAAAAAAATTAAATGAAGATCCAATTTTCCTTCTCTCGTGTTCAGTTGGTAGGATCAGTAATGCTCCCTTAGGAAAAGATTTCTGATCTTGTGGGAGGTAACACAACAACTCAACTGGTAATAGCAGGTAGGAACAAAAAACCGTGAGGAGGGTAACCAAAAACAACCCTGTGTCGCACATCCAACCTTCACACGAGCCAAAAGCCCTCTGATCCGAAACAGCAAAACGCGCCTGCTTTATACAGCCGAGGACCGACCACGATTTGCATGCGAATGACGAGACAACGAGATTATGCGTTAACTAACCGAGACCACCCGGCATAAAATATGGGCGCCGCCATTTTGGTTCCTTTTACCACTAGAGAACTGGAGTTTGCACACTGCACAGATTCGCAGGCGTTTCCGAGGGAGGCCATTTTCACAATTTTCCCCACAGATCTTAAAATCAAAGATTGATATTTTGAACCCTTTCTATTCTATTTCTCTCTTATATATATATATATTTATAGAAGTCTTAATCAACATTAGACCCTCACAGTTTTTGTAAATATTAATTGATGCTCAAATTTTTGAAATTTAATGAAATGAATCTCTTTCAGCATAAACAGGTTATTTTATGAAATTTTTTGTAACATATTTTAAAACAATGGAGAAAAGAAACAAAAATTCATATCAAATGCAAAAAATTAAATGTAAATATTTTTATTTAGATTATACTGAACTTATTGCTTCTATTTTTTAAGTATTTTATAATTTTAATTACATTGAAATTAAAATCTTTGACACTTTTATAATGTTTAAAAGTATAATTTGTCTTTTAAAAAATATATCATTTATAACAAATGAACATTGAATACAAAAGATGATAAGCAATAAATAAATGACTTCAACATCTGATTTGGTCATTTTCCCCACTTAAGATATGAAATTGAAAAGGTAAGTATAAACAAAGGAATCTATAATTTTCTTGAAAATGTACAGGAAAAACATTTACGCATGGCAAAGAAAAATTTTATGAGTACAAAAAGGCAGTTATTAAATGGTAAATCATAAGGAAGAAAAGTCAATAAAACTACATGACATCAGACTAACTATATCATCAAGTTATTTGTACCCAAATATTTGAGTGGCATTAGATTTCTGTATTTTCCAAATCTTACATGGATCAATGATCTCCCTTGCTTCTATATGAAATGTGTTTGATCTTTAAAAAATCTTGCTGATGCATCTGATCAAATTTGAAGTCAATTTTTCCTTTACTATCGATGCAGTATTCTTTCATTATAGTCAGACAAATTTATTGCTTAGTTTCAGTGATTAAGTGAAAGTCAAAAGATGACATTAGAAAAATCCATGCTCACATAAGAGGTAAAATTAAGTAATTGTGAAATTAAAATTTAATTTAGTATTGCTGGCTAATTCAAAAAACACTTGTGTAACAAGTTTAACAGTTACAATTAAAAGAAATATAAGTAAACCAGTAAGCAAAAAATTATCTACCATCCCACACTCAACTTTTTTTTCTCCAATACTTCTGATGTTCATATTAATTTCTGTAGCGTAGAATCATTTCTCTTGAAATGATATTCAGCTATCTACATGCTTTGTGAAATTAATTTAAACTCTTCTATTGCTACCAATGAATTCTCTATTGCAGGCCATCTTTCTCTTTGTTGAAAAGATTTTAGGATATAGAGGTATTGCTTTGGTGCTCAAATCCAGGAAAATCTTCCAATGGCAAGGGAATTGCCTCTTGAGTACCCTGATTATTTTTTTATGTGCTTTCAGCTTTCTTTATTACACTGTTAGTTATCTCTTCAAACTTTCAATTTTTCCATTGTCCAATCATTTAGTCAAACAGTAGATTTCCCTAATAATTCTGATCAACATGATTCTTTACTCGATTTGTTCCTTAACTCCTCACGTGGCTGTTGTCGAGCATTGTAATTCTGTCCTCTTGGCAATTCAGATCACACTGTAGTATCTGCTGATATTTCTTTTGACTCATATATTAGATATGAATCTCTTATTCACAAAATTTCTTTCTATTACTAACATATTAATTGGGATTCATTTTGTGATTTTGTTTGTGATGGTGCTTGGAGTGAAATTTTTAACCATCTTATTGAGAAATGTGGCACATAGATTTCTTCTTGTGTAAAAGCAGGCATTGATGCTTTTGTGCCTTCTCAGAAATACCAGGTAAAATCATTTTCTTCATTTACACCTGCCTGTTGATCCATTATAACCTACAGGAATCATTTCTTTTGGTTGTACCAAGTTGATACTGGTGATCATAACAGATGTCTCAATGAGTCTGCTCATAACAATTGTAAATATGTCCTCAAAGAGGCTAAGTTTTTGTTCACTGATAGAATACAGTACTCTATAGCCTCTAAAAAGTTAAGTTCTTGTAACAATAGGTGGCTCTATAATGGTGTATTAAATAAGAGTAAGTTCCTTCTCTCTCCACTCAATTTGAGGAGTTATCATGTTTTGCTGATAAAATAAAATGTTTTGATTGTATATTCTCTTCCAATTCATGCCTCATCTGGATTTTTCGGCAGTTGTACACCGGCTATGTGGAGCTTTTACCCACACACGATCACCCAAGTCATACGGCGCATGTTCTTTTATCCATTCAGTTGAACACGTCGCGTCAATGCCTCGTAGCCGGACTTTGTACTGATAAATCATGTTGGCTGGCGCAGTTGAGGGCGATATATTATTGTCTCTCGGAGTAACATTGTACCAATACACCGCCTCCATTATGGAACACTGCTTCCTAGCAGCAATTCTTTTGATGCTCCAATGACATCACTTGATTATGCCATTTCCTGATAGGACATACGTGCAGCGAAATCTGAGGTGTACTCCCCATTAATCCAAAAAATCTTTGAATAGTCCACTGCGGAATGCAGTGTCATTGTCAGTTAGGAGTTCTGTCGGAGGTCCACGTTCAAAGAACAATGACCCCAAGTGGTCAATGACGCTTGCAGAATCCTGTCAACGCAGACGTCGCCAAATAGTGAACCGGGTTGGGCCACAGTCAATTAGGGTTAAATAGTGATGTCCATTATAATGGGTGATGTCCATTCCAACACAGTGCCACACCTTGCTCACACTCACTTGTCCTTTTTGCCATTACACAGGTGCTGGGTCGATGGACTGACACTCCTTGCATTCCCTGAACACTGCCCTGACAGCAGCTTTGGATACGGAGGGATAAATCCGCCTCACGAAATATAGGGTTTGTTTTACACCGGGATGTCCGCTTTGGCAATGCACAGATTTTAGTAAATCTGAGTTACGGTTGCTCGCTGATGTTACACAGACATGTCCTACCAGCTCTACCTCTTTCTTAATAGCGTCAAGCCATTTTTGGGGTACCCTTGTTAAAGTATCAGCCTTGTTCTGATGTGATCTGACCAGCTGTATATCTACGGATAAGTGGTATTCACTTACCAACTTTCCTAGTGTGTCTAGTTTTGAATGAGCATCTCCCGCAGCCTTTGTACATATCCTGGCCTTCCCGTAAGAGTGTCTGCTATCCACTTATATACTCAAAAATGAATCCGATGAATAAATGCAACACCTTTGCATTCCATTGAAGGTTTCGTTACTCCCCTGATAACAGTGATTCTAATTCCGACAGGTTGATATGAAAATCCTTCTCAGGACGCAATAAAATCAAACGCATCTTCCATTACAGTTTCACCTACATCAAGAGACACTCCTGTTTCTAAGGGATTTTTCGACCCAGACGTTAAATTCACATCTGTCAACGCACCATTTACCACGTACAGGGTCGTTTTTGATGCACCCTAGTAATGACTTCCGCTATCATGTGTCTAAGGGGAGCATCATTTGTTGTGTCATCAGCCGGAATTGACAGCAGTCACCCTACGTTTGATAAATGCAGTTGCAATGCGGATCCACCCTCCCACGGGAAAATGTCCCACCAGCTTTCCACAAATAAAATGAAACATTTATTCATCGTGTCATGTGTCTGGGAATGTCCGGGAGCTCGCTTCCACATTTCCAGTAAAGCACGTTGTGCTCCCCCCAGATGTGCAAGCCGAGCACACAAGCACCATCCTCCAGTCGTTCTGGGTTCTTGCATTCAAGCTCTTCCTCGGGATACAGAGTCAGCCATCCATTGTCCAGCCACACCTGCAATTCGCGCTGGTATTCTTCCTTGACACATTCGGGCACCGAATATTCTGACACTCAGTTCTGGAGCTTTTCTGGTGGGTTATTTTCTGACCATTTTCAAAATGCTGTCCATGTCTTCGTCCTTTGGTTGAACTTTGCGCTAAAGTCGGGCTCGTTGATCTTCAAAGTAGCACAGATGGACAGATCAGAAAAATTGACTTTGCCCACCTCTGTAATGCGTATGCCGCCCAGCTCCTTAATAATGTCCATCCCAAGGAGCAGATCAAAACCTAATAATGCGCTGTCCACAACCAACACACTGACTGTGACAGGGTCACTGTTGTTGATACTGAGTTTGATGTTTCCAACTCCCCAGCTTCTGAGAGCCTTTCCATCGGCCATTAGTACATCCATCTTTTGTCTGCTCCGCTGTTGACAAATCAAACCATTCATGAGTGACCAAGAGCAGCCCGAATCTATTAAAGCGGTATGCGTTATTCCATTGATGCGTACCTTAATCACAGGGAGTGCCTCTTTCATGCTCGGTGCGGGGAAGA